AACTTCAAAAGGATTGTTAAACAACTAGAAGTCTACTAATTCCCAGTGGGCAAACTATCGGCAAACCTTAGCATAACTCCACTTTGAGTCTTAAACTAACAGCACATGAAAAGATCAATATGAATAAATTCAAAACTAATCAGACCCCTTCTTTAAATGTTGACACAGTATTATTTATATCCCATAAATACATTCTTGACTAAAATTCATCCTAGGAGATTGGCACCTGGCCAGTTCTATTCATATTTACTGTATTTATGTAGTACACTTGGCCAAGGATAATATTTAAGACAAAATATGCCTGAGGGCATATACAATATCTCTTATATTTTTACTTTTAAATCTCCACATTGCTAAAAATATTTAGTCTGAACTTTATAAAATGTCCTACAAAGGGCTATCAGCGATCTCTAATGATATATAGCTCATTGAGTATAATTAGAGCATATTTGTAATACTTGAGCTGCACTCACTCCCTCAACGCTAATAAGTTGGTGGTAAAAAATGAACCAGTGATCTTTCCCATGCCTTCATCTCTGGGGCTTATGACCCTCACCAGACTCACTGCAAGGAATGGCAGGCACACTCCCTCCCCACAGCCACTTCAGTGACAGCTGAGTTAAAAGTTAGGCAGAAAAGTCCTAAAGAGGGAAAGCTGGTATATACACCAATGCTGTACTTTCAATCTGATTTTTAAAAATAAGGTTTTTTTTTTGGAAGGGTTTGCTATATTCCAATGTAACTAGAAAGTGCTGGAAAATCAGTTAACCTCTTTTCTATAAAGTTATCCAGTCCTCGCACGGTAGTATCAAACCTGCTGTTGCTATGGCTGTCTGCTCCTAAATTTCCATACGGAATATAGACTTTTTAAAGCCTGTATTCTTTGCATGAAAACTGGCAGTATGTTTTATTTATCCTGGATGTATCAGAGGTTTTCATTTATTTGGTGGCTGCAGTGAAATGGAGAGGAGAATCCACACATTGATGCTACATGCCATACTCTGAAATCCTCCTAATAATCTAGGAATTTTTCCAGTTTGTTGATGACCATGACCCCGGGTCGGACCATCTCAGCTCTTCAGACTGAAGCGTGCTTGAGAGAACAAAGAAGTAATGCCCTCTTGGGTTACTTGCTCTCTCCACACCTATTCGGTAATGAGACCAGAGCTCCTTTCTGTGTTGTAAAAGCCCTGGCAGTTTATTAGAACTTTTGCATATAAACATTGAAAGATGAGTTATTCGGGTTCTACATAACATACTTTCCTCTCTGCCCAAATACCAGTAGAACCGGTGCACGTGCTAGAAAAAGCAAACTGACTCAACTCCTTGTTTGTCTCAATGGTTTTGGACTAATTACAATGAACTTTCTTTCCTAATATCTTCCTGGCTCCACCCCAGATAGAAAGCTTTACTTCCCCAAGGGGATAACCAGGGGTGGAGTGTATTTATCAACACTGCTGTGGATAGTGCCATAATTACAGTAATAAAATCTTCCTGCTTGCCAGAATTCTCTGCATCTGTTCTGCTATACAAGAAGAACAGGAGAAGCTGCAGCAAAATAAAGGTCACCGGGAAGACTGCGATTAGACACACGGGCTGACTTCTGAGACCATCAAGTACAAGACATGACAAGTCACATAGCTAGGACTTGTCAAACTAAAAATAAATATTAAAAAAGAAAAGCACCACCCTGCAATTAGAACCTCTATGATAAAATTATCGAGATGGCTGTATTATCTATTTAGGCAAGACACAGAGACTTTGCAAAGGCAGCCAGCAAGTATATAGGGCATGGAAAGGGGAGGAGAGAAATGAGCAACCAATGAGAAGTTTACGACTTGGGATTTGGAATAGGCGAATGTTGAAGAGCGTTCTGTTTGTTTGTTTTTCTTTTCTTATTCTTCTTCCTGGTATTTAACCCCTCTCAGGTATTAGTGGATGCTGCTGCCTCTTTTCGTGTTTGTTTTTTGTTTGTTTGTTTGTTTGTTTTCTGTTGTGTGTGTTTTTTTTTTTTTTAAAGAACTCTGAAATAATTCTACACTGTCTCTTCCCTTCCTCTACAATAAATCATTTCACTCCCATTGCTACTGTATGCCAGCTGGTTTTGAGGACACTGTTCTCAGAGAAGCCAGTTTAAAAAAAAAAAAAAAAACGGCTGTCGTCTACTCTGCGTTTTAGAAATGCATTGAAATAACTGCAGGAAGCCTACAAAAAGGCAGGAGCGGGATAACAGACCAGAAAAAAACCTAGGAAAAATGATCTGCTACATTGGAGTTCTGAATACGGCAGGTTTGGGTGTATTCTGAAAAATAACGTGAACTAAAACCTTTTAAAACACAGTCAGAAACGAAGTTGTCCTTTCTACCACTCCAGGTGAAAAGGGAACGTGGTGATAGGATTTTTGTCTTTGGGTAATTAAGCATCTAGTGATGGCAAACGATACATCAAGGACTGAGGGTTTCCAGGTAGGTTTCTCAGGAGGTCTCCAAATCGGGTTTTGTCTCGGCGATGCTGACATTTTTAGGGGAGTTAGAGACAACAGAGAAGGCTTGGGGAACCGGCTGATAGGTCAGCACGGAAAGGGGGCGCCTTCCGGAGAGGCTAGTTTTGAGACACTTTTTTTTAACCCCTTCGTGCACCAATTCGGCGCGCTCCACGCCAATCGGAGCAAAGAAAACAAACCTACCAAGATTCCCAAGTTTAACTCTCCCCCTGGGAGCACCTCTAGTTTGACAGAGTGGGGCTGACTCCTAGCTGGTGGCCGACTAAAGAATTTTAGGGAAGAGAAAAAGAGAATAACGCCTTTTAAAGGGCTGAATTGTTGGGGGAAGGGAGAGATGGAGAAAATAAAGTAGAAAGTAAACGTTTTAAAGCCTGATGGCCTGAGGCATACAGCTGGAAAGGAGGAGGTGGATGGGGCGAAGGGCAGGAGAACGGGAAAAGAGCGAACGGGAGCCGCGAGAGAGTAGGGCGATCCCGGGAGCTGCTGCGGTTTTGAGAGTTCCGGGCAGCGCTAAACCTCGGGGGATGGAAGTGAAAATGAGTACTTACTTTCGGAGGGGAAGAAGGGCGGCATGTCTATTTTGTAAACCTCCTTGGCGTAGTACTCCTCGTCGCTCCTCTCGCGCTCGCAGGCGGCCGCCCTCCGGCTCGCCTTCTCCTGGAGCAAGTCCCTGGTGCTGTTGTAGATGGAAATCACCTCCGGGGGGACTTCCTCGGGCTCAGGATAGTCTTCTGGGGGGCTGGTGAGCTTCAGCTTGCTCAGGATCTGCCCGCGGATCGCCTCGATCCTCTTGCGCATGAACTGGTCCATATCGAGTGTGCTGCAGGTAGACAGACTGAGCGCGACCGTGACCAGATGCAGGATCAGAAAAGCCCTCAGCACACAGTAGTGCATTTTTTTTTAAGGCGGAAAAAAGGTTGTTTTTAAAAAAAAGTCAGAAAAAAAAAATCAACAATTCTCAAAGTATAGATCAAGGAGAGTTGTTTGGTTTTGTTTGTTTTTGAGGCGAAACTTTTGCAAACAATCTATTCAATGCCCAGTAGAAAAACGTATCTGCTTGAATTTCTTTAAGAAGAAAAGGCAAGTAGTTCCAAAAGGAGAAATATTAATACGGGACGGGCAGGGGGAACCCTGACTTTGGAGAGTAAGAAAAAAAATTCTTGGAGCAACGAGATGGGGGAAAAAGAGACGAGTGGCTATTAAGCAGAAATAAATTTAAAAGAGGAGGAAATGGAGTTCAGTGTGTCAGCCTCGGGTGCGGAGTGGCGAATCTGAACTCGGCTCCTCCGGCCAAAAGGTAAGAGATGAAAAGGTCCCGGGGCTGGCAGCTGGCGAACTGACGGGAGGGGCGCCGGGAGCGCGGTGAGGGGGGCCGCCGAGGCTGACCTGGGCTGAAATTTATATATTTAAAGAAGGAGCGGTTCGGCCCTGCCCTCCACTGCGGCGCTGAGAGCAGGAGCAGCAGCAGCTCCGGAGCAGAGAAGCGCACACGTGTGTGCGTGTGTGTGTGTGTGTGTGTGCGCGTGTGCGCGCGCTCTGTGGGCGAGCCCGGCGCGCCGCGGGGAGGAGTGCGCTTCGCGCGGTGCTCGGAACTCGGTCGGGTGCCGCAGGGGCCGCAGAGGCTGCTGAGGCGGCGCGGATCCTGCTCCCGGAGCTGCGCGCCGTGGCCTACACCCGGACGGGCGCGCGCTGACCCGCTTGGTTACTCCGCGTTGCCGCCGCCGCCGCCGCTTGCAAACGCATCCAGCCTCCAGCTCCCTCCTTCTCCTGCTCCTCCTTCTCCTGCTCCAAACGCCAACCCAGCCACAGACGATCAGCCGCCGCCGTTGCGTTCACCCCCTGCGGATCACAACGGCAGCCCTTGCGACACCCTGGCTGGGGAGTTTTATTCCGGAGGGGGTTGCGCAGGGGCTCCCTGGGACTCCCACCCTTTCCCAACCTCTCCTGGCTTCTCCCCAACGTGGACTTGCTCGCTTAGGGTAGGTAGGCACTTGCCACGCTAAAATAGACCCTCTCTGTCTCCTCCGGTCTGCAGCCGGGCAGCCCCTTAGTTTGTTCCTGGATGACTCCCTAGACCGTTAGGCTAATATTCTCCAACCCCCTCCCCTGCCTCTTTCACTTGCGCTCTGGCTCCGCTGTCTTTTCTCTCTTTCTCTCTTTTTCTTCCTATCTCTATCTGTCTCTCTCTTGTCCGGAACTTCTGGAGCTCCGCTCGGAGCGAACCTCCTGCTGCCAGCAGATAACATCAGGATCTTGCCGGGGAGGAGAGATTTATAAGTTCTCTCTGAACCACGTGTCTGCCTTCAACAAAGTGACGTGCTAGGATTACAGGCAGAAGTCCTCTCGTTACTTCGACCGCGAGCTCTCCCCGAACCGTTGAGGGGGTGTGGAAATGAGGACCGCTGTGGGAAAGGGAGGAAGGAGGTGGGATGTGCGCTCTGTGATTTACGGCATTTACTTTCTAGTCATTTGGACAGGTCTGTTGAAGGACAATCAAGTCTCCCGTTTTTACTTAGTGTAGCTCAGTCACAGCCTCCCAAACGGAATCACTTGCTCTAGAACGGAAGGCTTTCCTCCTCTGTTAGGTGTGCACACATGCTTCTATGGGAGGGAATGCCGGTCTACTCAGGGCCAGGCCAGTCCTGAAGACATACCTTCCAATCTTTTAAATTAATGTCGTCATTAATTTCCTGGGATACCTCAACAGGCTGCCATCCTAGAGTTTGTTCTGTTCGTTTGTAGTTTACAATGTAGCCTTCTGTTTGGGAACTGCTGGAAAACAGAGAGGCATCATTTTTTACCTAAAGAATAAGGTACATTTATTTGTTTTTACTTACTTGAATGAATGGTCACCTTTATAATTTGCTACCTAGCCACTTCCTGTATGGCTTTCTCTTCACCTTCCTGCGAGGCTAAACACCATCAACCAACTTCATTCTTTCCACAGCATTAATCCAGGAAGCTGGAATTTTAAGTGTTTGATGTCTACTGTTCTACACTACTCATAACTTGACATTTTCTATTTCAACCAAGTCTAAATTAGATGAATACAAGAATAATTCTTACCACTGTTCCGCTTTCCCTTTTTCTCTTCTTCTACCTTTAGTTACTCAAAGTCAACATTTTCATTTCAGCATGACTCTGCAGCCATACTGACTAGACAGATGATTTAAACTGGAAACTCTGTTGAGTTTTCCCCCAAACCCAAGGTGTCTATACTATTCCCTAGTTCATATGTTCCCTAGTTCAGAAAAGTCACAAAGAACCTTCCACCACTTTTGGAATTTATACTTTAGATGTGTATGAGGCCTAGATCATGAGTAGAGCACTGGATGAATAAAATAATAATAGCTAATGTGTACTACACTTAGTGATGTGATGTGTGTTGTGTATGGCCATCTAACCTTCACAACAACCCGAGGAAGTAGGTATTATCCATGTTTTGCAGATGAGGAGACTGAGGTACAAAGAAGTCAAGTACTTTAAGACCACAGTAGGTGGTAGAGCTGGATTTTTGCAGTCAGGATCCACTATGTTCTTACCAACTATGTGCTTTTGAGAAACCGTGGTCCCAGAATATGTTCTGACAAACAGAAATTCTGGGTCAAACAAGTCTGGGAGATACTGGGTACTCTACTGTCCTCTTAGATTCCTCATTCCGGAACGTTATCATTATAAAGGCTCCGAAACTCCTGCAGAGTTTCACTCTTTTAACCCAGCATTTTCTGAACTCCCTTGAATACAGACTTTTTTCCATTATCACATATTGAAAAACTCTGGAATAAAATAAGTGTTCCAACCCATTTCTGAATAATTCTAAAAATTGTGTCTAAATCAGTACTGGCAGGTTCATTTCCTTCACACCAGTTTTGAATTGAAGCAACTTGAAAGGAGTTAGAAACCAGCTACCATCCCAGTAGCCCAAGAGAAAGATAATCAAGAGGCGCTATTGTCAGATTGGTAGTTTCATCCAGTTAAGTCCTCCCTCTGAGTTCAGATTGAGAGCTGCAGTCAGCTAGCTCTACTGACTGGAGAAAAAGTGAATATTCCTACACCTGCGGCCATTATAGACATAGAGCAGGAGCTCCAAACTAGAGCCACTGAGTGAAATTGCTGCTGGTTACCTAAGTTAGCTGTCACCATATTTTGCTGAGGATATAGGTTCAGCTTTCCCACAAGCCAGTGAGCATCTCTCATGTTTACAGACAACCTTCCCGGTACAGACACTGATGCACCTTAAGTTAAGTAGATTCAGATCAGAGTGTGGGGAGAGTAGCAAAAGTCCATTTACATCACTTCCAGGAAGACGGCCTAAGCCATACATTCTGAGAGACACCCCTCTTCCTGACATAGACATACACACTTTTGTTCATATACTTAGTTTATTGAATACCTATTGCTCACTTAACAACTCCTCAGACCTGAGACCCCTGACCTATTCATAAGAGGCTACTTTCATTTCCCCAAAGCCCAGGAGGCCCAGGAGGTAAGACAGGGGAGGTATCAGTAAAAGCTTCTGGAATGGGTAAGTGCAGTAAATGAGTATAGCAAGAGAGGGGAAGCCCCTTTCCACCTCTCAAATGATCAGTTCTTTGAAGACCTAACAGGCAAGATCACAAGAGCTGTCTCCCTGGTAACCGTAAATGAAGCCTTTCTTCTATTAAATAATTCTTTTTTTTTTAAATTGCATTTTAGGTTTTGGTAAATAATTCTTTTAATGCCTTTTCATCTCTATATTTAAAAAGAAAAACATTCACTAAATTTATGGAGATCTTATGTGCCAGGGTCTCTACAGTCTTCATGGTAAAGGGAATTTAACTGATATACACCATCTTGACTACTTCAAGGAGGCAGAAGAGTACAGTGGTTTAAAGGGCAGGCTCCAGTGATAGTTTCTTGGGTTCAGATTTCTGTCACTTTCTGGCTTTGTGATCCTGACAGAGCTACACACTGACTCTCTGAGTTTCTTATCCTATCAGGTCTTTATTTCTGTCAGGGAATTTATAATAAAAATACTGGGCTTCACTCTCTCTGAAAAGCTAGGGAAGAACCCAAGAAGAATCTGCTTCTAGTTATGCCTCCTAGTGTTTCTGTAGGCACATTTTAAATAGTATTATACTTTGCCCCCAGTAATTATAGGAGGAAAGGACAAGAAAATACACTTTTGGTGAATAAAATGCTAAATGACTATCAAATTTCAGTTAAACATTCACGATTAAAGTCTATTAACACCCTCAAGTGGAATTTTGTGTTTCCAAATTACAGAAGTAGAGGGTGCAGCTGTTTCCATCTTAGCCATTCTGCACTCATCAATAGGTCTATTCACTTAAGTAATGTGGAATTTCTACAAGAGGCTGAAGAAAACAAAACTACTCATCCCTGTCCTGGACTTTTGTGCCTATGGATCATAGGTCCTTCCTAACATTGACCAAAGAAGAACTTCATTTGTAACAACTCTGGAGGCTTTCCAGGATAATTTCAAGCATGAAAAATAAGGAGGTAAAAAAAAGAAATATATGGAACAACTGTCATTGATTACATTTTCCCCCAAATAGCGATACTTGATAAACGCAAAATAGCGCTTTAATATGAAAATACACCAAAAATCTTTTAAACTTTTATTTATAATTTTATATTTGATGCTACTATTCAAAAACAATGGTCTATATCAATTTTGTCTCATGTTCTGTATGTGTTTCTATAAACAGCTTCATTTCATTATTCTGATTATGAATAATGAAATGGAAAGGTAGTTTCCTCATGAAGAATAATCCGATTGTTATTTGTATTTAAAGGTTAATCTAAGGAAGAAGTATTATGAGAAAAGGAGGGAACGATGGGCAAGGAGGAAAATGGAAACAGGGTGGGTCTAAAGAGATCAGAGGTGGTAAAAGATAAAGAGATAGCACCAAGAGAAACCAGAGCACATCAGCAGGTTGTGAGGCTTTAGAGATAAACTCATCACACTAATGCTACACTGTGGGAACGTTATCTCATCCTTTGGAATTATGATTAGTTGACTGATGACTACTTATGGCTTTTGGGCCTGTCATATCTCTACAATTTTAGCTCTCCAGGAGTCTTTCTTTGGGAAGCAGTCTCACAGGGGCCTGCGCTATGTCATCCCTGTAGCTGCAGCCTCTGGTTTCTTGCCCCTGGTGAAATTCATCCACTAAGATAGCATTTAGTGACTGATACTTAAATAAATGAACATATGGTAATAGTTGCCATACAGCATAACACTATGGATATGTGCTTAACAAAATGCTCACAAAAAGAAGCCAGCGGTAGTATTTTCCTTATTTTATTTTATTTTATTTTTTTTGAGATGGAGTTTCGCTCTTGTTACCCAGGCTGGAGTGCAATGGCATGATCTCGGCTCACTGCAACCTCCGCCTTCTGGGTTCAAGCAATTCTCCTGCCTCAGCCTCCCGAGTAGCTGGGATTACAGGCACGCGCCACCATGCCCAGCTAATTTTTGTATTTTTAGTAGAGACGGGGCTTCACCTTGTTGACCAGGATGGTCTCGATGTCTTGACCTCATGATCCACCTGCCTCGGCCTCCCAAAGTGCTGGGATTATAGGTGTGAGCCACCGCGCCCGGACTTTTTCCTTATTTTTTAGAGCAGTATTTGACACTCACCTTTACAGAATCTCTATTCCTGCTTCATTTATTCTACCACCACAGAAGTTCACAGTCTTCACAAGGCAAGAAGCCAGAATGGTTGCTGAGGAGAAATGGACAGTGTTTTGGCCAACTAAAAATGAAAACAAAAGATGAGAAAGAAAAGGAGAAGGTGAGTGACAGAGAAAAATATGCTCTCATAATTAAAATGAGTATAACAAAACAGTTTTTTTTTAAAGATACATGTTCTTTAAATGAATTTGTGTCTGTTGTCATCTCAGTGGGCTTCATAGATTGGGGGAAATTCCAAATGTCTAAATTTCCGCTACCAAAATTACCAACCTACATTTCAAATAACTTTGCCCTTCTGCTGCCTCCATCAGCCTGCAATTTAAAAAACAAAAAAAGACTGGGCATGGTGGCTCAAACCTGTAATCCCAGCACTTTGGAAGGCGGAGAAGAACAGTTCATGTGGTCAAGATATCAAGACCATCCTGGCCAACATGGTGAAATCCCGTCTCTATGAAAAATACAAAAAAAAAAAAAAAAAATTAGCTGGGCATAGTGGTGCGTGCCTGTAGTCCCAGCTATCCGGGAGGCTGAGGCAGGAGAATTGCTTGAACCCGGGAGGCAGAGGTTGCAGTGAGCCGAGATCGCGCCACTGCCCTCCAGCCTGGTGCCTGGCGACGGAGTGAGACTGTCTCAAAAAACAAAAACAAACACAAAACAAAAAACCAAGGGTCAATAGTAATTGCATAAAAAAGAAAACACAAGTGTAGTTTATGATAGAGGGAAAAATTAGTAAATATGTATTTTTAAAAGCCTAAGTATATGATAAGGATTTTTAAAAGCACAGCTATATGGATGGTTATAATTTATAAAACTGGAGACTACAGGCTACAAACTCACTGCTGATTATGTTAAGTCTTAGTAGAAAATAAAGTTCTCATAACTAAGGTAACTATATCAGTTATCACACAAATCCAAACGTTTTTTGGAGTAAAGAGGATGCTACTCATTGATATATTAAGACAACAGGGGTAAACCAGGACTATCCCAGATAATTACCTTATTTAAAAGGAAGCCACTTTAAAATCTTAATCTTTAAGAATACATCAGTTAGACGTTGACCTTTTTTCAGTTACAATGGTGATATTATATTTTGCATACTCCCAATGTCTTTTTTTCCCTTTGCCTGTGCAGCATATTCTAAAAATCACCACTGGAGATACATTTTGAAAATGGTTACTCGCACAATTTAGTATTGATATAAACCTGCACCGCCACAAAAATGAATTCCCAAGAGGTGCTTGGTCAAGTTCTTCTGAGCTCAATGAAAGCAGTCTCCTACAAAGAAAGGAAGAAGATAAATACAACAAAAATGGGATTAACAAGCATTTTATGTATTCTGTGTACAGCCAGAAAAATTCATTTTAAAAGATTTGAAAATCAACAACAGAAAAAGAATCTCAAAGGTAAAAATGAGTTTGTGCGCCCTTTCCCATTTTAGTGCTAGTCCAGAAAAAAAGAACAGTGTTTCTCTTTGTCGTTTGGTGCTTGCAGGTCACATAATAATGACTTTTCACATGTTGATCCGTCTTGCTTAGCAAACAGTAACTGCTTCATAAAACCAGGGACACCAGGAAAATTAACTTCCCATAATTGAAGGGGCTATTTCCTGTTAATGTGAAAATTTTTGTGATCAAGAATCCTACAATTTGTGGTTTCTCTTTAGATTTGTTAAATCCATATGAGTCCTTTTAAGTGCAAAGGCAGTATCTTTACTGTCCACGTAAATAGCAAGCTATCTACCATAAGCCAAAGAAATCAGTCCAGAAATGGATGTGTCACTGTGACCTGAAGAGACAAATAGTTCTGGCAGCTGGCTTATTGGAGATAACAAGCGTTTTGTATGTTTCTTTCAGACCACTTTGTCTTATAATTCTAAGTTAATTAAGATCATTAAACAATAGACTATTACAAGGTCAATCTGGCTACTTAACCAGTCGCAACAATTAAATCTAATCAATGCCGCACTTCAGAAACTACACACTCCAGTGGTTGTAGGGAAAAACTGGATTCAATGAGAGCTTAAATCATGCCACCTAGAGGAAAGCTGTGGTATGTCTTACAACTTCATACTGTTACATTCATTAATTTATAATTTTGCATTGATTTGTTGTTACTGCACATCAAATAAAAATGTTTCAGATAAATGTTGTAAAACATGCATTTTTAAAAAGATGCTAGATCAACAGCAATGGGATATCTTTAATTACAAAGTTGTGGTTACTGGTTATCTCCTAGGCAGTAACATGGGAAGCTAAAAATCTCATCCTCATTTTTATAAAGCATAACTTGAATACCAAAATTCTTAATAGCAAAAATGTCAATCACTTACACTTTTATGACTCATCTAATGTCATTAAGTAATAAACAGCAGCCAATATCCAATATATTGTATTTTTGAATTAAAAAAAATGGTTATATGTAGTAAATCATTGGATACCACTTCCGTAGTTAAAGTAGTTCCATTTCTGCAGCATCCAGATAATTCAAATGTAAAGTTTTCATTATCAGACATTCTTGGGTAAGACCTGTAGTGAATTATCCTATAGCACACTGCAGAATACACTGACAGTACCAGCCTGGGGTGACATGTTAACTCTAAATTGACACAGCTAGGAAAATTTTCACCTTCTGATAAAGGGCACCTACTAATTTTTTCAAAGTACAAATTCCATTTTACTTTTCTCCAGAGGATAGTTTTTCTTCCTTTAATGAGCGTTGGTGCCAGCATCTGCAGGTCTAAATAGGAGTGGGGATGTTCAGTCCTTGCAGGCTTCCTGCTGTGAATGGCACAGCTCACACAATAATGTAACTTCACATATAGTTCCGGAAGCACATAGGCATTGAAGACACTTGCTGCAGCCTGTACTGTGTTTTGAATAACTTCCTGGTTGGGAGCAGTGGCTCATGCCTATAATCCCACCACTTTGGGAGGCCGACGTGGGCAGATCGAGACCATCCTGGCCAACATGATGAAAACCCATCTCTACTAAAATACAAAAAATTAGCCGGGGTGGTGGCCCATGGCTGTAGTCCCAACTACTCAGGATGCTGAGGCAAAGGAATCGCTTGAACCCAGGAGGCAGAGGTTGCAGTGAGCCAAGATCATGCCACTGCACTGTGGCTTGGCAGCAGAGCAAGACTCTTCTCAAAAAAAAAGAACTTAATAGCCCTGTCCTTGGGCACACATGTGGCCACCACCCTTTTTGTCATGATCATTGTTCTTTTTCTTTGTCATCTTGGAAGTGAGGACCCGAAAGAGCATGGCATCTACTACTACCTTCCATTGGCCGTAGTTTTATGTCAGAGTTAAATGAGACCAAAATACTGAATACCCATTTATTTTGCCAGAAGAGTTGACTATCTAGAATTTCATTTTCTATAAGACATTATCATCTCAAATGTGAGGAATCACCGTGGTGTACAGCAGCTCTGTGACTCGTCTGAGACGTGAGGGATCACCGTGGTGTACAGCAGCTCTGTGACTCGTCTCAGACGTGAGGGATCACCGTGGTGTACAGCAGCTCTGTGACTCGTCTCAGACGTGAGGGATCACCGTTGTGTACAGCAGCTCTGTGACTCGTCTCAGACGTGAGGGATCACTGTTGTGTACAGCAGCTCTGTGACTCGTCTCAGACGTGAGGGATCACCGTTGTGTACAGCAGCTCTGTGACTCGTCTCAGACGTGAGGGATCACTGTTGTGTACAGCAGCTCTGTGACTCGTCTCAGACGTGAGGGATCACTGTTGTGTACAGCAGCTCTGTGACTCGTCTCAGATGTGAGGGATCACCGTGGTGTACAGCAGCTCTGTGACTCGTCTCAGATGTGAGGGATCACCGTGGTGTACAGCAGCTCTGTGACTCGTCTCAGATGTGAGGGATCACCGTTGTGTACAGCAGCTCTGTGACTCGTCTCAGACGTGAGGGATCACTGTTGTGTACAGCAGCTCTGTGACTCGTCTCAGACGTGAGGGATCACCGTTGTGTACAGCAGCTCTGTGACTCGTCTCAGACGTGAGGGATCACCGTTGTGTACAGCAGCTCTGTGACTCGTCTCAGATGTGAGGGATCACTGTTGTGTACAGCAGCTCTGTGACTCGTCTCAGACGTGAGGGATCACTGTTGTGTACAGCAGCTCTGTGACTCGTCTCAGATGTGAGGGATCACTGTTGTGTACAGCAGCTCTGTGACTCGTCTCAGACGTGAGGGATCACCGTTGTGTACAGCAGCTCTGTGACTCGTCTCAGACGTGAGGGATCACCGTTGTGTACAGCAGCTCTGTGACTCGTCTCAGATGTGAGGGATCACTGTTGTGTACAGCAGCTCTGTGACTCGTCTCAGACGTGAGGGATCACTGTTGTGTACAGCAGCTCTGTGACTCGTCTGAGACGTGAGGGATCACCGTGGTGTACAGCAGCTCTGTGACTCGTCTCAGACGTGAGGGATCACCGTTGTGTACAGCAGCTCTGTGACTCGTCTCAGACGTGAGGGATCACCGTTGTGTACAGCAGCTCTGTGACTCGTCTCAGATGTGAGGGATCACTGTTGTGTACAGCAGCTCTGTGACTCGTCTCAGACGTGAGGGATCACTGTTGTGTACAGCAGCTCTGTGACTCGTCTCAGACGTGAGGGATCACTGTTGTGTACAGCAGCTCTGTGACTCGTCTCAGACGTGAGGGATCACTGTTGTGTACAGCAGCTCTGTGACTCGTCTCAGATGTGAGGGATCACTGTTGTGTACAGCAGCTCTGTGACTCGTCTCAGACGTGAGGGATCACTGTTGTGTACAGCAGCTCTGTGACTCGTCTGAGACGTGAGGGATCACCGTGGTGTACAGCAGCTCTGTGACTCGTCTCAGACGTGAGGGATCACTGTTGTGTACAGCAGCTCTGTGACTCGTCTCAGACGTGAGGGATCACTGTTGTGTACAGCAGCTCTGTGACTCGTCTCAGACGTGAGGGATCACTGTTGTGTACAGCAGCTCTGTGACTCGTCTCAGACGTGAGGGATCACCGTTGTGTACAGCAGCTCTGTGACTCGTCTCAGATGTGAGGGATCACTGTTGTGTACAGCAGCTCTGTGACTCGTCTCAGACGTGAGGGATCACCGTGGTGTACAGCAGCTCTGTGACTCGTCTCAGACGTGAGGGATCACCGTGGTGTACAGCAGCTCTGTGACTCGTCTCAGACGTGAGGGATCACTGTTGTGTACAGCAGCTCTGTGACTCGTCTCAGATGTGAGGGATCACTGTTGTGTACAGCAGCTCTGTGACTCGTCTCAGACGTGAGGGATCACTGTTGTGTACAGCAGCTCTGTGACTCGTCTGAGACGTGAGGGATCACCGTGGTGTACAGCAGCTCTGTGACTCGTCTCAGACGTGAGGGATCACCGTGGTGTACAGCAGCTCTGTGACTCGTCTCAGACGTGAGGGATCACCGTGGTGTACAGCAGCTCTGTGACTCGTCTCAGACGTGAGGGATCACCGTTGTGTACAGCAGCTCTGTGACTCGTCTCAGACGTGAGGGATCACTGTTGTGTACAGCAGCTCTGTGACTCGTCTCAGACGTGAGGGATCACTGTTGGGTACAGCAGCTCTGTGACTCGTCTCAGATGTGAGGGATCACTGTTGTGTACAGCAGCTCTGTGACTCGTCTCAGACGTGAGGGATCACCGTTGTGTACAGCAGCTCTGTGACTCGTCTCAGACGTGAGGGATCACCGTGGTGTACAGCAGCTCTGTGACTCGTCTCAGACGTGAGGGATCACTGTTGTGTACAGCAGCTCTGTGACTCGTCTCAGACGTGAGGGATCACCGTTGTGTACAGCAGCTCTGTGACTCGTCTCAGACGTGAGGGATCACCGTTGTGTACAGCAGCTCTGTGACTCGTCTCAGACGTGAGGGATCACCGTTGTGTACAGCAGCTCTGTGACTCGTCTCAGACGTGAGGGATCACTGTTGTGTACAGCAGCTCTGTGACTCGTCTCAGACGTGAGGGATCACCGTGGTGTACAGCAGCTCTGTGACTCGTCTCAGACGTGAGGGATCACCGTTGTGTACAGCAGCTCTGTGACTCGTCTCAGACGTGAGGGATCACCGTTGTGTACAGCAGCTCTGTGACTCGTCTCAGACGTGAGGGATCACCGTTGTGTACAGCAGCTCTGTGACTCGTCTCAGACGTGAGGGATCACCGTGGTGTACAGCAGCTCTGTGACTCGTCTCAGACGTGAGGGATCACCGTTGTGTACAGCAGCTCTGTGACTCGTCTCAGATGTGAGGGATCACTGTTGTGTACAGCAGCTCTGTGACTCGTCTCAGATGTGAGGGATCACTGTTGTGTACAGCAGCTCTGTGACTCGTCTCAGACGTGAGGGATCACCGTTGTGTACAGCAGCTCTGTGACTCGTCTCAGATGTGAGGGATCACTGTTGTGTACAGCAGCTCTGTGACTCGAGCCTGGATTGAACTATATTAGCTATGTGGCCTTGGCCAGGTTACTGAAACCGATTGCTTGTTTCCTCATCTGTATAATGGGGACAACAGCATCTACCTAACAGGGCTATAAGGAAGATGGTAGGAGTTAAGGGGCATTATGAAAATCTTAGATATTGTCTGGCATGAAATCAACATTGTTTAAATGTTTGCTATTATTATTACATGTTTTGTTCCAACTTTTACTTGAATAAGTGTTAGAACTATGCAAAATAGGATGGTTAAAAACAAAATGGCAATGATTTTTTTTTAAAATCCAGGAAACAGGTTTTCACTTAAAGTTTTATTAATCAAGAGGCACAAGGAAACAGCGGACAGATGGAAAGGGAGTCAAATTTTTTATATTCAACATTCATTGCAGGGTAGTTAGCAAAATTTAAATGATAAAGTAGGATTCTAGCAAATAGGACTCTTCATACAGTCCTCTAATGCAGCTAATAGCAATAGTGCTCTGTTAAACAGAATTTAGAGTTTGGGTTCTAGAACAGGATAAGTAAGCAAAAAATAAAAAATGTTTGTGTCTCATTCAATGTGGAATCATTTTTCTCAATATAAGGCCTGTCTTTTCAGACTGCCAAAAATTACATTCTTTAAAAAAAGTATTATTGTATTCACCTCATGCCTTTATGGCATTTAAGAAATTTACTTATACTGTCCGAAATGTTTTTAATCTTACTCTTTAGTTAACATATTGACCCTGTTTTCATCAGTCTTCACAACCATCATTTTACAAGGAAGTAGAAGGCTGGCGGTTCAATAGTTTATATAAATGTCCTCATATCACTGAACTTGTAAGTTTTTAAGAATTTCTTGCTATTAAAAACAATTCTGCCGGGCGCGGTGGCTCAAGCCTGTAATCCCAGCACTTTGGGAGGCCGAGGCGGGTGGATCACAAGGTCAAGAGATCGAGACCATCCTGGTTAACATGGTGGAACCCCGTCTCTACTAAAAATACAAAAAATTAGCTGGGTATGGTGGCACGTGCCTGTAATCCCAGCTACTCAGGAGGCTGAGGCAGGAGAATTGCCTGAACCCAGGAGGCGGAGGTTGCAGTGAGCCGAGATCGCGCCATTGCACTCCAGCCTGGGTAACGAGAGCAAAACTCTGTCTGGAAAAAAAAAAACAAACAAAACAATGAATACTAGTATTTCTTAAAGTGTCCAGTGTAAATATAAATTTACTGGTTATTGAGGAATATATTTGGGAATCCTAGGAAGGACCAAGATAGGGCAGTCATGTCTCATGCAATCTATCCTAGTGTTCCTGTCATTTGTAGAGAAGGATATCATCACATTGAACCTTCTGGACTATGAACTTTTATATATATAATATACTTAGGAGAAGCCAGTGTTATTGTACAAAGACAAATATTATTGTGTAGAAACAGCCTTGATGTTATGCTTGGTACTTCTCAGTATTTCAGGGCAACTGCTGAGTCTGGCTGCCGCACTGATGTTTTCAGAACTGATGTCAATCCATTGTTTATGTCCTTTCCATGGGAGGGATACATTTTTACCTAAGATTGAAGTCTGGTTCTGTAAGTGCAAAGAGGCAACTGTCTGGTAGCCTGAGGGTGAATCAACAGCTGCAAGGCCACCCACGCATACGGACACAGCTCTCAGCTGTCTCTCCATTTAGAGCCCCAGTTGGTCCTGACCTTACAAATTTGGTGTTTTCACTTTGATGTTTATGAACTGATTGCATTAAAAATGCAGGATAATGATTCGAGGTTAGAGAAACTATTATTTATACAAATGTGGTTAACACCTCATCATTTTAAATGGGCTGTGCTAATAATGCTCATTGTGCTCTTCGTGTGTGTGGTGTGTGTGTGTGTGTTTTCCAGCAGCCTACATTTGCTCTAGCAGTATGTTGAGTGTATGCTAGAATAGAATGGAACTAGGCAACTCTAGGGTCCCACAACTAAATACACTTACTCAGGAAGCCTCCTAAATAAGTAGGTTCCCAGATAGAAGTCAAAAGCATAGGAATTCAGTCCTTATATGGTCTATGGCTCCGGCAGTTCCCAAGATGTCTTTTTAATGTACCATAAACCCATTCTTTTGGAGAACCAAAAAGATTTAATGTTTGATATATTAATTCTGAAAGCCTCAGATGATAAATAATACTATTTATTTATTAAAAAAACCAAATACTATTTGTTATTAAGTGGCTTAATGTTTAAGGACAATAGTTACCCTACAATACAATTTAATTGTAAAGAAACATCTTTTTCAAAATATAAATACTGAAAAAAAGTAAACAATAACTCAATAAAATTTCACCAGTATTTCTATATGCCTAAATTATATCAATAAACATTTACAGAAAAAGCTCAAGATAGATATACAATTCCCAAATTCACTGTTGTTTTGTTAGACAAGATATATGCTCTGTAGCTTTACTCTCCTCATAGTTGGGATAGATCCACTGGCCACATGTAACTTTTAAAATTTAAAGTAATTAAAGTAAAATTGAAAATTGAGTTCCTCTCTATCACTAGCCACATGTGAAATGCTCAACAGCCACTTGTGCTAGTGGCTACCATATTGGACAGCACAGACAGAAAGTATTTCCATCATCACAAAAAGTCTATTGACAGTAATGATTTAGAATTTCATTCCCTATAATTTTATTATAAGGTATTATGCCCACTCTTCTAACATATATCCTTGCTTGCCTTACTCAGTTGAAAACCAAAGAACATTTAACAGAAAGCTAAATATGTACTCCTCCCCCTCAAGGAGAGGGCAAAAAGGAGGGAGAAGGTGAGCAATGTTGGTGCACGTATTTTAAGAAAGCAAACTTAAATTTAAAAGGTTTACCGCATCTCTAGATTAAAAAGTCCTAAATACTAACTCCCTGAAATTATGTTCAGTAGACTAGGTAAAAAATATTAATATGGCTCTCTAAGCTATAAAGTACTCCAAATTTAGAGAATCTAAAATTATTTAAGAACTGTTAGAATGTATCTTCCATCTATATAATTATGATAAGATTCACTATAACTTAGCATTTTATTAAGATATCTGTCACAATTCTAAATTGTCCTGTCGACCATCTCAAACATTCTACTTCTAAATCTGTTCACAGATTCCCCTGAGTAATATATTTAATCAAATTTCAGAAAAGCTCACCCAATGAAAAATTTACCAAGACTACCAATGCTGCAATAGTAAGATTCAAACACCCAGCTGGCCAAAATTCAAACTCCTGTTTTCTTGGGGAAGGAGTAAGAGAGCTTTTTGTGGGCACAAAGTAGTTCTCTCTCCTGTTTCCAAAATTTGCTCTCACTGCCAATTCACCTCCAACAGTCTTCAAACTCATAATATCTGCAGGGCTTACAAGCGTCTATACCACTGACACGCAGAGTGGAGATAAATGTCAATCACATTGATCCTAATAGATGAACTTGAGGAAAGAACAGAGTTAATTATGCTTTGGTCAACTGGGAAAAAATGTTTCCAAATAAAAACGAAGCTAACATTATCAATAAAGTATTGACAAATTATAATATTCACAGCTCCACAGAAGCTTCATTAGTCTAGGATCTCTATTAGCGTGCTAACTTGAATTTAACTTCAAGGAAAGTTAAATTCCTTCAAGTCAGCACGTTAATGGAGATGTGGAAGGCAATGGAAGGAACCATAAGAAGTTTCCCAGAATGTATGCATCCCTTTCTTCACCCAGCTTTCTAAAAGAAAAAATAATTTATTTCAGAGAAATGGGACTGCCTTCAAATAAACCTTCCAGAACCTCCTACTGAGTGCCTCTAGGCTCTAAGTGCTAGTGGTAAGTAACCCTCTGACCTATTCATCCAAAAAGTTTCCAAGGTGTATTTTGCAATCAATTGAATAGTATTTGGGTAATGCAGAATTCTAGGTAATTTGAAAATAAATTCAGTGCTCCAACTCCATGATAAAAAGTGCTAAACTACTATGATAATTCTATTTTCAGTCCTAATCAGGTATTATCTTTGGCTTTCAAATTCTGATGCTTAAAAATAATTAACAACCAATGCTAAACTATGATAAATACTAAGAACATTAACCCCAGCCATCCAAGTGTCTAGAACATTTTATGTATGAAATAAGGTAATTATTTCTATATATGAAATAAGGAAATAACACTTCCAAATTGTTGGTTCCTATTTCCTACAGCTTTTTCTAACTGAAGGAAAGTAACCTACTATATTATTCTAAGTAGCTACCGAAAATAAAATCCTAAAAGTGTTATGTTTAAACAAATGGCGAGGTGGGAAATGCAGTTTTCTTTCCCCTTCTTAAAACATTTAAAAGACAGACGGGGTATGGTGGCTCACACCTGTAATTGGGGCACTTTGGGAGGCAAGAGGCAGGAGGATCACCTGAGCTCAGGAGTTCACGGCCAGCCTGGGCAACATGGCAAAACCTCATCTCCACCAAAAATACGAAAAATTAGCCAACCGGGTGGTACATGCCTGTAGTCCCAGCTAGTCGGGAGGCTGAGGTGGGAGGATAACTTGAACCCGGGAGGCAGAGGTTGCAGTGAGCTGAGATTACACCACTGCCCTCCAGCCTGGGTGACAGTGAAACTGTCTCAAACACACACACACACACACACACACACACACACACACACACAAAGACAATGTAGAAAGATGAAATACATTCAGACTCATATCAGAATAATTTAAATGTTGTAGGTAAAATATTTAGAATAGAGGTGACAGAACTAAGCTAGTTTCTAAAATATGCACATTCTTGGTTTCGTATTTATACATAATGGTATTTTGCTTATTTAATATCCAGGATGCAAAAATACTAATACCCAGAAGATATCAAATCTATATGATAAAAATCACGTCATATAATTTATATATACTTCATAGCCTTCTAACAGAAGTAATACTTTTTGTTTTTCCTTATAGTGGTAACTCAATTTTGCTTTGGGATAAAATAATTTCTGAACATTGAAAATCTGCAAATATTGTCTTCTTTACTTTCAATGCGAAAATTTTGTCAAATTGTTTTCACATTAAATGAGAGACCATAAAATATGAGTTTTGTTTCAAAACATTTTATAGTAAATAAGCTGTTTATCCATATCTATCATGTGAATGTACTATTCAGAAAAATTCCTGCAAAGCTCTAGTATAACCCAGAAACAGATTAAATTAAGTGCAATCTTAGTTCTGGGGAGAAAAATGTGTTTAAGCTGCTACACATATTTTTTTTTCAAAATTATGTGTTTGCTAGCTCATATTGAAATATTTATCTGTATTAAGTTATAGCAGGATATTTAGCTCTCCTGTATTACTACTGAGGTATATTTGTTCATTTATTTATACTGAAAGACACTAAAGTTCAAATGTTAAATACAAAAATGCATCTTGTACTTTGCTGTTTTAATCACTTGGTATCTTAGGTGTACATCTTCCTTTATAACAAATACCAGGCCACAGACTGATTCAGCTTTAGTCATATAATACTGTAACACTCAAATGGGTTTCAAAATACAAACATCTCTGCTCTTGCATAGTTTTTTGGGGGAGGATTATCCTTCAATATATAGCAGATGCAAGTATGTGCAACTGGTTGGTAGGAGGGAACTATTTTTATTATGAAAAGGGATGGGTCCTCTTCAAAAAGGAACAAATCACATTTATTAAACGATTCCCTTAAAAACTTTAGAGCATAGGCCACATTTCACAGAAATTTTGAAAAGATATTAAACAATCTCCCCTCTTCTTAACAGCTAGATATTAAAAGTCACCCAATGTAATAGCCTTTAAGGCAGTAATATGGAATCGAGTCTCAAATCAGATGCAATATTCTGCTGCAGATTACTTGTTGTCTAACTACGTCATTTCACTGGTTGGAAAGTCCATAAAAAAGAATTTAGGCTGACTCAGATATTTGGGAGGAAAAAAAGGTGACAGACTAAAACATGTCAAACATGTTTCCTAAGAAATTTTGTCTCAATGCGTAAGTTAAACATGAGAATTTCCACCTCTGTAAAGCTGTCTGTAATGCAAAAACAGCCTAACACTTAAATCTGTCATAATTTATATTATTTAATAAATAAAAGGAAATAAAAGTTGAAGTCTGTGGTTTCTTAAATCACAGCTTCCAGATTACGTAAAACTAAAATCACTACCCAAAATTCAAAAAACTTTAATTTTAAATTTTATTATATAGGTTTTCTCAATAACTTCCCAATACAAGCCAAAAAACACCAATCATTCCCAAAAACTACAGATACATAGTTGGGTCTAGAAGTTCGAAGGCAGAGAACTATTAACTTGAAAGAGTTTAATTATGAATTGGTACTGTATTTCTGAAAACACTGGTGATAATAACACACCAATAGACAGGACCAATATGATCCTGGCAAAATGCTTATCTCACTGGTCAAGCTGCAATATTTCCTTTTACAAATGTTCTGAGGAACAATGCTTAAAATTATACCAGGGTTTAAAATATAGTTTAAATAACGTATATATAAAGTGTACATGAAAAGGGGAAATATGAAATCAGGCCAAAGTCTTTTGACTTTTGGTATCCTTATAATTCCCCAACTATCAGGGGATGAAATATTTTTCTAGAAAAAATAAAATGATGATTTTATTTCCTGTGGTGCTTTATGTATCAGAGTCACTTGCAGATTCTGGCCTGCTGTCATCTGGCCCATCACTTTCCTTGTCCCAGTCTTTCATAGATGCTCCCATCATGAAATCGTCACGTAGGATTGTCCAACCTGGGCCCTCTTCTGATTTCACTTCAGTCTGAGGAAGATTATAGAATCAAAATATTCCAAAATTAATTCCACCATAAGGAAACAAAAAGGTCCAAGCTACAAAACAAACTTTTTGATGCTTAGTTTTTATAACAGGGGTGAAACCAAGAGAAATTATACATGGACTTACTTTATACACTATGATTACATATGTACAGATGTATAATAAAAAACTAAACATTAGTAAAATGTTCTATGGCCTCCATAAAAGAAACATGAAAGCAAAACAAAAAACGTTTTGAAGTGAGGGAAAAACATATAAATTTAGATTTGGTATTAATTTTTTAAACACTTTTGACAACCAAAACAGACTTACAATACTATTTAAACTTCAGTGATAATTTACTAGAAAATTCTGGCAAATTATTTCACCACAAATAACAATTTAACAAAGGCCTTTAACCTAAAGTAATTTAAAAGTGGGGAAAAGAAACCACCCTGGTACTATGCTAGGTTTTTTAAGATGCCATCCCATTTAACATTTTTATAAAAATTTGAACCAAATGTTGTATATGTTATGAGCTCACTGCCTGACCCAATCATATAATCAAAGACTAATCACATGTTGAAATTATAAATAAATGAAGCAGGCAATCAACATAATAGTAGTCAATTCATTTAGTCACAGGATTTATGTAGTACTAGTCTTACAGGCTTTCATTTCATGGTACAACACTACCACCTTGTGGTATCAATTAAGTAATACAATAGGTACAGCACTCAAAATTTTTCATTCCTTCCACAAATATTTATTGAGAATTAGCTGTGTATCAAGCATATGTTAGAAACATAGTGAGGAACAAAAACATGCCCTTCATTTGATGTGGAGCCTAATGAAGACTGACACATTTTAAAATCTAATTCCTCAAAACTGTCTTACAGATAAAATATTAACCATAGTAAGACAGTTTCAAATTATGAACTCATAAAACTAACTTAGAAAATTTTTAATAAGTTAGAATTTTTCATTTGTCAAAGAATTAAAATTTATTAGAAATCAAATGTATCATATATTTGATGCTTGTGTATCTAATACAGATTTTAGATTCCTCCCCACCCCTGACTCTTTTTTTTTTTTAATTAAAGACAGGGTCTTGCTGTGTCACTCAGGCTGGAATACAGTGGGGTGATCACAGCTCACTGCAGCCTCAACCTCCTGGGCTCAAGTGATCCTCCCACCTCAGCCTCCCTAGTAGCTGGAGCCACAGACACCATTAGGCCTGGCTGACTTACAAATTTTTTTTTTGTAGAGATGGAAGTCTTGCCATGTTACCCAGCCTGACCTCAAATTCCTGGGCTCAAGTGATTCTTCTGCCTCAGCCTCCCAAGGTGCTGCAGTTACAGGTATGAACTCTTAGCTCTCATGAAAATTTTCACACAGGAAGAAAATTATAAATAGTAGTGTAAAAACACCTATATTTCTATCACTTAGGTTTAAAAGTTATTAATACTTATATATTTGTTTTACATAGCTATCTGCCTTTCTCTCCTTCTAGATTTTGTTTGTTTGGGTTAATTATTTGAAAGTACTACCCACATGTACCCCAAAGATTCTCTTTTTAAAAAAAAAAAAATCAGCTTTACTGAGGTATGATGTTCACATACCATACAATTAAAAGATTTTTTTTATACGTTTGAGAACCAGAATTCAATCAAGGCTCGCCCATTGCATTTGATTGTGTCTTATTCTCCCTTTAAAACAAGGTTTTCTTTATTTTTTTGAGACCGACTCTCATTCTGTTGCCCAGGCTGGAGTGCAGTGGTGTGATAGCTTACTGCAACCTCCTCCTCCCCGGTTTAAGTGAGTCTCACACCTTAGACTCCCCAGTAGCTGGGATTATAAGCCTGTGCTACCACACCTGGGCTAAATTTTGTATTTTTAATAGAAACGGGGTTTTACCATGTTGGCCAGGCTAATCTGAAATTCCTGACCTCAAGTGACCTGCCCACCTCGGCTTCGCAAACTCCTGGGATTACAGGTGTGAGCCACCATGCCTGGCCAAATGCCATCTAATGTATCTGTTTTTAAAACATATTAACCTACACTTGTTTGTATACATTTTCTATTGTGTCTTTTTTCCCCCAAATTACTGCTTCACAGTATAAAAATGCTACTGTAATGATAGCATGAATGATGCAAACTTAAACAAAAAGTATAATGATCTCTCATTGACTGTAAACACTGCATGAATAAAAATCCCTATGTCCACAATATTTTAAAAAGACAAACAAGCCAGGTGCAGTGGCTCTCACCTGTAATCCCAACACTTTGAGAGGCTGAAGTGAGCAGATAACCTGAGGTCAGGAGTTTGAGACTAGCCTGGTCAACATGGTAAAACCCCATCTCTACTAAAAATACAAAAATTAGCCGAGTGTGGTGGCCAGTGCATGTAACCCCATTTACTCAGGAGGTTGAGGCAGGAGAATTGCTTGAACCCAGGAGGCAGAGGTTGCAGTGAGCCGAGACTGCGCAAGTGCACTCCAGCCTGGGTTACAAGAGAGAGACTCCATCTCAAAAAAAAAAAAATAATAAGAAAAAGAAAAAAGAAAAAAAGAGAGGAAGGCTCATGTGCCTGCACTGGACATGACTTAAACTCCTTACTCTGGAAAACCATAACTAAAAGGGATGAAACATTAACCCCCATCTTTAGGAACTTTAATTCATCTCCTAAAAAATGTCAGCTAATAAATAAGAAAACAAATGAGAAAATCACAAGAACGAATCTTCTGTAACCTCAAGTCACTTAACTGTTTTAGGCAAGGATCACGAATCATTGATGCTAAAAGGCAAGAGATGGAGATAGGTGTACTTGCTCCTGCAAAACTATTTGCCCCAGAAGTTATATTCTAACCGTGGGGTGGGGAGGGCACAGCTTTAATAAGGAAATATTTATGTGATGATAATCACTTTAATCAAGTGGAAACTGGCATTACTAGTATGAGACATTCTGATAATGTGTCGCCTGATGTGTTACAATAGCAAGTACACAGCATAAACTATCACACGATATCATTATGGCAAATTAAGTTTAACCTAAATCTCAGCAAGCCTATAGTCCTAACTTCTAGCTTATAGGAAAAGGGCATAGAACAAGGTAAATGACACCATAATGAAGTAATCAGACAAATTAATAAACCTAGATTCATTATTCATTCATCAAGGCAACTGGCTTGTCTCTTTAAAAAGCCAATTTAAAAAAAAAAAGGCAAGGGATTTGTCTAGAATAACAGAGAATAAGACACAATCAAATGCAATGGGTGAGCCTTGATTGAATTCTGGTTCTCAAACTTATTTAAAAAATCTTTTAATTGTATGGTATATGAATATCATACCTCAGTAAAGCTGATTTTTTTTTTAAAAAAAGAGAATCTTTGGGGTACATGTGGGTAGTACTTTCAAATAATTAACCCAAACAAACAAATCTAGAAGGAGAGAAAGGCAGATAGCTATGTAAAACAAATATATAAGTATTAAAAACTTTTAAACCTAAGTGATAGAAATATAGGTGTTTACACTACTATTCTTTGTAATTTTCTTCCTGTTTGAAAATTTTCATAAAAGAGCTGGGAGTTCAGGCCTGTAATTGCAGCACCTTGGGAGGCTGAGGCAGAAGAATCACTTGAACCCAAGAATTCAAGATCAGCCTGGGCAACATGGCAAGACCTCCATCTCTACAAAAAGAAATCTGTAAGTCAGCCAGGCCTAATGATGTCTGTGGCTCCAGCTACTAGGGAGGCTAAGGTGGGAGGATCACTTGAGCCCAGGAGGTTGAGGCTGCAGTGAGCTGTGATCACCCCACTATACTCCAGCCTGAGTGACACAGCAAGACCCTGTCTTTAATTAAAAAAAAGAGTGGGCAGTGGGGAAGAATCTAAAATCTGTATTAGATACACAAGCATCAAATATATGATACATTTGATTTCTAATAAATTTTAATTCATTGACAAATGAAAAATTCTAACTTATTTATTAAAAATTTTCTAAGTTAGTTTTATGAGTTCATAATTTGAAAATGTCTTACTATGGTTAATATTTTATCTTACATAACAGTTTTTAGGAATTAGATTTTAAAATGTGTCAGTATTCATTAGGCTCCACATCAAATAAAGGGAATGTGAGACCTAGGAAAAAGCAGACTGCAAGCTGCTTCCTTCACCATTCTCTTCCTAGTCTTGCTGATACTGTGGCGCATTAGCCAGCCCCAGTTCTTCCTGCTCATCTGGGTGAGAAAAGGAAGAAAAGTTTTCTACTGGAAATGGAATTATGTAAAAACATCTGTCATAGCATCTGGCACAAAGCATACACTAGTAAGTGCCCTCGCAATCCTTCTCCTCACCATCCTCACTTGCTGATGCTGAGTAATTGTGTATCCACATAATCCCCAACTTGGGACAGGTATAATCTTCTAATGATGTTCTGCACACTCTTCACAAAGATGAGAACATTCAAATAGCATGACAGCATCCCCATAGAAACCACACTTACCTTAATAAGGAAATTCTTGTAAGTAATATAGTTAGTTCAACCAAACTTGAAATGGGGAACAAGACAAAGTGGACCCCTTTCTTGTTCCTCCAAATCTAGTTTTATATATTCTAAGAATTATGCACTACTAGAGCCATCACACCTAAAATGAGAGAGAATGTCCAAATCTAAATCGGAATTTTAATCGAGGAAGATTTTTGGATTATCTAATAATTCAGAAAAAAGCAGTAATAGTTCCCCTTCAAATTGGTTTCCAACTTTGGAATTCATCTTTGACTACAATTTTTAGAGAAAAAATAAGCACTAAGTACAAGAAACTTGTTTTAATGGTATGCAATGCAAAACAAAAATAATTGCAAACATTTATATAGCATTTATTTACTATGTACTCAGCATCATTCTAAGCGCTTTCTGTATATTAACTCAATTGACTCTCAACTGACCTACGAGATAGGGGCTGTTATTACTCCTATACATAAGAGGCATTTTGCACCCAGGCAGTC